AATCCGGTGCGGGTAGCGAAGCATAGTTACTGAATTTTTGGGGAGAATATCGACCGCGATAGGATCGTTAGGATTTGAAGGTGGAGGGCGAAACAAAGCGAGGGCGCAAAACAAAAGCTTCCTGCCTGACACATGACGATAAAAGTGCAACGGTGAAAAATGAGGAACCGGAACATGGGACCTGGTGCATCAGCAGGGATGGCGTCATCCAGCCGGTCAGATTGAACAAAAGCCTAAAATCACCGCTGAGGCCCCGTGGCTTTGGACTGAAAGAAGGAGCGCAGCAACACTCCTTAGGTTCCCATTGCCGGGTGGTAAAGTTGGTAGCACATGACCGCGCATAAAAACATCCGAAAATGATGTAGATTGGTTGCAGCTCGGCAAAGACCAAGGAAGGTTATTTCTCTTAAAGTGAGGAAAGCTGGTGTCCGTTTAAGTGCCCGCTTCAAAGATAAAGTTGTCCTTACCATAAGCCAGCCGTGTATAATTTGGGTAAACAACCCTTGTTAAAATAAGGCATTAGTAAGTCCTGGGTTTAAATGGGACGAAGGCAGTCTGGGGGAATCAGTTCGAGTATTTCCCAATGCGTTTTACAATCAACAGATCTTAGAGTAATAGCCAGTTCTGCAGTAACACACTGGACACTCTGCCTAGCCTGCGTCTTTTCTTAACCATGAATGGACAATCTAGTTGGCATATCTCGGAAGCGCCAAAATATGCTGTATACAGTATCTTGAAGTCCATACGAATGGTACAGAGAAAGGTGGAGGGCGCCATACAAAGAACAGTAAGAGAATTTTGAACGAATTTTCGTGCTTGAGTGCGGCCGTGTCTGGTTTTAATAACGTAATATCCTCTGTCTATTCTCACAGTGCACGATAACGCTTTTTTGAGTCTGTTCCTAGGACTTGGTCGTCCTCATTAAGGAAGACACCAATCCAGTGACTGATGTTCAGTGTCACCGAAATCCATCTGGTCTTTTGCGGCAACTGTGTGTTCAAAAAATTAGACACAAACTTGAAAGCAATTCCACGGGTCGTTGGACGTAGACCAAAACAAGGAGCGCCTTGAAACCGGCTCATAAGATGAGTAGTTTATCGGTTTTTTGCTCAAACCACTCTATACAAAGAAAAGGCCTTAGCAGAGTAGAATTTTTCATTGCACCCTAAAGGCGTTGAGCCCGTGCAGCAGTAAAGCGTCTGGAGCAAAATCGACCGCTTTTTGGAGATCAAAATAATTGGCGTAGAACACGAGTCTTGTCCTTGGCTGGTGTTGGGCTGTCTACGTAAATGAGTTTGTTCCTCAAACAAGAACGCTGTCTCAGGAATCCTTTTTACATCGGGGTTATTAAGTTGTTGAGTGAGGTGTTATTTAGAATTATCCACTTGAGATTATGTTCTATAAACTTGCAGCTAATACAAGAATACTTGCAGAATGCAAGCATGCATAGTGTTCTTTGTAGGCTTTAACCATCGGTTCACCCGTGAACTCTGAACGTGTGATCTCAGGGAGACGGATTTGAGTCCCTTTATTCAGTCGCCTCATTACCTAAAAAGTATATTTCAACTTTTCAGTTACATGCCTAATATTGTAGCCTTTTTGTAGGTTGAGTTAGTGGATCTCCAATTTACAGCGGGTTCCTGTCCTACGAAATAGCTGCCTGTCTTCTCAGTGCCTGAAAACCAGTTTAAACTGTACTCCCGGAAAACTTTGAGTCATCCTGGGTAGTGTTTGGGTTGGTTTAGTAGAGCGTCTGTTCCTTCAGAGCGCCACTTATGTTGGTTTCTCGAATACTCCAAAGAATGAATCTGCATGTCTACCTGATGAGGCTGGACCCGGAGAATATGCGCACAACTGCCGATTCTGTGCCCCAAAGGATTCCAAATCAACTTTCAGACCCAGGGTTTCTAGTTTAGCAGTCGGTGACATTGAAATTTCACGAACTCTGGCCACACTTTCAGTTGACCGACTGGGTGCTCCGTTTTTGATAACAAGACTCAGTAGAAAATACAGTCGGCACGGGCAGTATCCGGTGGCTGCTCCGGTGTTTTGAGTACAAGCGATCCGTTGCTCGACCCAAACAGGCGCCGATGCAAAATGCCCACTAGATTGGACGTGTAAAAACACCATCCAGAAAGCCTGAGTACTGTCGAATTTGCCCACCAGCAAAATAGGTGCAGTTTTATCTGGGTGTCATATATTGCCTTATATGATGAGGGGCAACAGTATACGGAGCCAAGTGGAAGTGGACCGTCTTCTGCAATGGTATACAAGTCAGCAGTGCATCAGAAAAGGGCGTTAAAGTGTTGTTTGGTGGTCAATTGGACTGAACAAGACTTAAGTATGAATGAACTCTACTCGCCCTTAAGGAAGTAAGCCAGAGTCCTGTCAGTTCGATTGTGAACTGCAGTTCACAGGGTTTTTTGAAAAGGGTGAGACAGCTTGTGGACCAGCAGTTTGACATAATTCTCGCCGTCTGGAAATCATGGAAATCATGATGGATTGCTAGCACCAGTGGTTGACAGGTTTTATAATTTGACAGTGTCATGGACACCAGAATTAGGAATGTTTTTCTTGGTTATTTAAACTGCAGCATGAGACTGGAAATCATGGAAATCATGATGGATTGCCAGCACCAGTGGTTGACAGATTTTATAATTTGACAGTGTCATCGACACCAGAATTAGGAATGTTTTTCTTGGTTATTTAAACTGCAGCATGAGATCGAAACAAGAATCACGGATTTACGTTAGGGTGCACATATGTTTTGCATCTTTTGTCTAGAACTCGAGTGACACAGTTTTCATGCATCTCTTTGGGTATATTTTTGATCTGTCGAAACCATTTCGGAAACCATTTCGGCCCCTCTATTGTTCTCAGTGAGACAAATGAACCGCAGAATGTTGCAAGAAGCGTGAGAGTTAATTTTTCCAGTTCCTGCAACACCCTTTTGGGAGCAGATTCGTATTCAGTCCTTATTCTAACTGTATCAAGGACCCATTTTGCCAGCTGCGTTGGGATGGTCGCTGTATCACTAACGTACAGTCTCCACTAGGAAGTAAAAATAGTGAGCTGCACATATCAGCGATTTCTTTCTTACCTCAGAACACACCAGCTTCGTGTCAGATCAACGTGGGCTGTCTACACACAATCTTCGATGGTCCAGCTTAGAAATGCCATTATTAATCATTTGAATGATGCCAGTCGCTGCACGAAATCGCAGCTGCACTAGCCAGACGGTCTTCTGCATGTCATAAGGGGTTTGTTCCAGTGCGTCAGGTGAGAACTGTGAGATGTGAAGAACATATCACTATCACGAAACAGAGATCCAGGAGGGTGATCCAGAAGTGGTCTCAGTGGCCTGTGTCATTTTGAGACGCTTACGGACACAACCTTAGAGACAACAACTTAACCCGACACGAGTTAACTAGTTTGGGAAAAAACGACAGACGCTAGAATTCCCAAAATGCCATAAACATAATGAAACAGTGGATTGTCTAAGGACAATTCTTGCAGCGCCGATACTGTGCGTCTGTAACGGGTGAACTACCGTCGTTGAACAATGTTGATTATTCTCGACACAAATGGCGATCTCGGAACAAAGATGACTTCTGCGGACTTTGTGAAATTTCGACAATCCTATCAAGAGACAACCTCTCCCATCATCTTGGATGTTTTAATAATCAACATTACTCAGAGTATTTAGTGGCTTGTGAAGAGGCCCCGTTGTTGCATCGGACCGAGGTGAAGCAATTAAGAATGCTGTGTCCCGGAAGTCAGTGTGGGCCTACATTTTTGGCCTCAGGGAGACTCGAATCGGGTTTATACGCGTAGCAGTGGTTTGGAGCGCCAGCTAGAGGCAAGTGAAAAAGCCTTCGGGCCGTTGCTGGGGCAAGTTAAATTGCCTTCGATGCAAACCTGACCTGACAATTGGGCAGGTTTACTACCACGGCGGTGCAAGCCACACTTGCTGGAATTTTCCTTCACCAGGCCTGGGCATTCCAGGAAGGCCGACAGATAAACGCCAGTTCACCTACCACGTCCCTGTTTCCACAGAGTCAGAATCAGTCTTTGAGGTGGTTTTGCAATAAATCCCGTTAAGTATAATTTGATACATGATGCTAAAGAGGACTGAACCTGATCAGATTGTAAGATGTTCGTTCTATACGGGGGCGCCGGATTATTCACGTAAGTACTGTATTACCTAAGGCGTAATCCTCAGCAGACACAAGATACTAGGTATAGCACAGTGAATTGTCACTTAAGAATGATGCCACGCAGGCACGTGTGAACGAGAATGTTCGCCCCCAGAATGCTGGTTTTATAGAGTAAGTTGTGAAATTGATTTGTTGTCGGGCGCACCGAACTCCTAATGAAATTTTGGCAACCTAAAAGAAGTCATGTACTCACCAAATAGGACAAAAACTCACTGGGCACTGCTCTCCAAGGAAGCCATAAAAAGTTTTTGCCAGGATATGTTTTCAAGTAACCAGGTATCGTGGACCACCAGCTGTATTTTATGAGGGATTCCAACAGATAGTTGGTTTACGTTGGCTTTAAAGGTTGGAGTCAGACTCAACAGCTCACGATATGCATCACTAACACCAAATCCTGTGACAGACCTCTGGTGTCGACTGCGAGACTCCTGGTACCTAACGCAGTATGTAACGCCACCGGCAAACATCGTCCCTGAGTCTACATCATTCGGTTTGCCATAAGGTTTAATCCATGAACATGTGTCATGCATGAGGACATTTGCACCTTTTATCCATTTTCTTCAATATGCACGCATCAGAAAATTGGACTTATCATAGACGTATGTGCCTACGGCGTAGTAACCGCGAAAACATTGTAGTTTCCTAGCTACTCTCGGCCCATCGTGGATGTCGCCCTCGCGATTCAACATTTTCAAAAGGTAACAAACAAAGCGAACAGCTTACTGTTCTTGTAGCAATAAAATTCAGCTTCTTACTGGCATAATCAAATTTTTTTACGCTACAATGAAGTCGTTTATCCATGAGTATCATGAAACTGGACGCTTGTTTGATCATGCTATATTGATAATATTCCTACCAGGCGTATATTTGTCTTGTTCACGAAATCAATCATTATTCGCTGCAATGATCCAGGTATGCGGTTGTTTGACCCTGAAGTTTATACATGTTGAAAGAAATTTTTGTCTGTAGATGTGAGTCTATCAAATTCTCTGAAGTCGTCCCTTTTGATTTAACTTGAGGAATATTACGGAGCAATGCAACTCAGTTTGTGTTTCCTAGTCTTCCCATTGTCTCGGGTAGTACCTTTCTTGCTAGAAAAGATAGGCCTCAGACCAGTACACCTATTACTAAATGCAGTCACATTCGCACGAACCATCAAGGTTCCTTATGGTCCTTGCATCACCCGACCGCGCTTCAAGACAGGAAGTGCGTACCAAAACCGCTGGTTGTATTTGATAGGCCTGACGTCGTCTAAGTTTTACTGACTAAATTCTCAAGTACGGAAGGCGAAAATTTGCAGCCAAAATGAACAGAATTTGGTCACAAAAACTGAGGCACCCGAGTTGCATCCGTTGGTTGGAGCATGAACCGTCTATCTTCGCATACCACTGCACTTTATTGAACATGATTTTTTGTATCGGAACCTGGGAGGGCGGGAGATTTTGGTGTTATTTTTGACTAAACAGACTTCGCGGAGGTACAAGTACAGGCTTAATAAACTCAGGTTTTAGGGGAAGCTATCAATTTTCTGCTTATTTTCAGGGCTGTAAAATTGTGGAGTAGTGTTTTTATGGCATTTCCTATTGTGGAGTTCAAGCGCTTGCTTCCCCTAAATTGTGGGATAGCTCCAAGAATTCAAACAGCGGCCCGAAGACTAGAGTTTGTATCATACAAACATTTTCAACTTTGTTTCTATCCACTGTCGTTTTCAAGCTGAACGTAGGTCTGAACTGATGAAAACCTCTCACAATCTGAATAGGATATGCTCGTCTAGGCACATAGGCATCCACCTCAGCACCACTGTGAGACAAGCGTTCAAGCGACCCAAGGAACCCGATTAAACCTCTACGTGTACTAAGCTTATAAATGTGCTCAAGACAGGACAGTCAGTGGTGCAAACATCAGATTAACTCTCTTGTTAGCTGTTAAAACTTTGCACGTGGCTTGGTGGTGTCGGTTGACAAGCAGCCAGAGATGTACTTTTAGCATTCCCCTCAACTGTCATCAAAGAACTGCAGCATGACTATGGCCTGAGTTGCCCAATCTTTGAAAATAACCATAATATCAGAAAACTCATTATTTATCCTCCAAATCTTTCAGTTTTGAATAACACCAGCGGTCTTACTGCCAAATAAGTAAAATGAATTGCTTTTTCCCTCGACGATTCAATGGCCACATATAGAAGAATTGCAGAAAACTGCAGAACTGGAGTATCCGGTAGCACATTCAACCTTAGGGTAACCTTGTTTGTTGTACTGTGATCCTGAACATCAGAACTGCTCCAAAAGTCTGTTGTACTATTCAGCTGCTCGTATAAAACCTGGATCCAATATCATCATTAAACATGTACGCGGATTTAAAATGAAGCAGTTTTTCGTCCTTGGTCTGTTTTCCTTAGCAAAGTACTGTTGCGCTGAAAAGTGTCGACTGTTTGCGGAAAAATAATGCATCTCAAGAAACCATTTGCTAACAACTTTTCATGATGATTCTAAAAATACATTTTTACGTTTGAATAAGATAAATCCAGAGAGTCAGAATGATGAAGAGTAAACATTCATGTACTACGCTGCGTTAGTTAAGGTACTTGTTTACTTGCGTAGAATGGTATTCCAAAAACGCCCAAATTGTCTAACTCTACTTACACGGACTTCTACCTCAACACAGATTTTGCTTAATTGTGCCGCATAAGTTTTCGAAAGTCCTGCTAATTCCTCATTTCAGTTGGTAGATTTTAGCACATTACTAGAAACGGACGTGTTCCAAGGCAACTGAATTTGAACGCGTATGTTGTCTGTCACTGTTCTATAGGAAGGATGCTCTGGAGTCTTACTCTTATAAAACCCAAATCAATGATGCTGCTCATTAAGAGTCCACGAAAGTTTTTATATTTTGTCTCTGAAGCGCCCCAATGTCTTCTACCAGTATCTGACTCCACGGAAAGTGTTTGCCGTTCAACTTCACCATCCGTGAGTGCAATCTATATAAGGCACTAAGCTACGTCACTTGAGGCCTTTTATAATAGGAAGGCGGAAAACACATTCCAGTTTCACACTGACATTCGCTGTTTCAGCAAAACGAAATTTTCCATTTATTCAGGGTCTTGGATTTAACCATTGCCTTCACTTCACAAGCCACCATGGGTCACTTACGTTGGATCGCAGCCGTTGCGCCAGCGGACAGTAATGATCTTCTTGGTTCAAGGCGCTGTATCCCTTACGGTTTGAAGTACTGTTTAGCTTGACTATTGATTAGGCGGCAACTTGGACGTGTGTGTAGACCTTTGTGTAGACAGAAAGGCGTGGTGGAGTCAGAAATTCCAAGAAATGGAGGTCAGTGCAACTTAAAGTGCACGAAATTCTTCCTAGCTAATCCATCAAACAGGACATAAGGTCTCTTGGTAAGTGAGCTACGCAAAGACAACAAGAAACTAGTCTAAGTCGCTGAGCGGGATACTTTTGACAGCAGTATTGAGCCGTATTCTGTGCGTTTAGGTCCCGCCTTACTTGATGAGATGTTACTGTATCGTTTTGCCTTGAGTCAGTATCAGACTTCTGGATCATATTTGCCAACCCCAGCGTTGTCCAAATATAGAGAAAAACTTCGTACTCCACTTTGTATAGATTTTATGTACTTAGTTGGGAACAAGAACAGTTTCCAGAGTTGGTGCTTGTTATGCATCTTATTTGTGTTCAAACAAGGTGTCTAAACAGACTATTTTGACTGTAGAAATATAAGTCTTACGCCTGTTGCACCAAGATGACTGGCTTGCGCTACATTGTGGCACTTATCTTCATCACGTGAGGCCAAGCCTGGGAGCACCAAGCAGGATTTTACCGTAACACATGCTGCAGTATCTTTACGTTATGTCAGTTGCCTGAGGAACACCACTTACAACGCCGAACAACAATTGCGGTTTTAATCTGCTTTAAATGGGCCTCTATCTCTTGAGATGTTTGCTCTAATCATTTTGGCTATAAGTTTTTAAACATTCTCCACGCTCTTTATCCCCTACCCCCGGTCGGATTGGAGTGTACAATGGACTCTCCAGAAGCTTCCGTGTAACTATTTGAGCTCGCCAAGTTTGTCTCCTTCATTATTTTTCCCCGTTCGCTTTTGTTACCAACTTCATGATAAAGAGAATACACCAGACGGACGTAAATTCGAGTATCAAAATTGCGTCTAGAGAGAAACTAGTTGATTTGGATCACACAGTTGACGTAGTTTTGTTATTTGGTGATTACTTATCTGCACAAAATACTTTAGCCAGAATATTGGAGGTGATCCCATGTTCTCGTGCACACTTCTCGTTGTTGAAGCTCAGAATCATACTTCAAGCTACACAATCCATTTGTTCTTTTCTGAGAATTCAAAATGGAAAGCTTGAGTTTTTTTTATTAGTTTGCCAATCTTAGCAGCTAAAAACGCCGTGTTTGTAATCTAGGGGATAAAACCAACGGGTTAATGATGGAGTTGTGAGCAGCGTTTGAAAATACTTGCCGTTTACTCTGTCAGGGTCCTAATTTCACCAGAACCAATGGGCCGTGTATACAAGGCAACTGGATGAGCGGTCTTACTATGCAGATTTCAGACTTGAAACTGTTCAGGCTCCTATGACCTTAGACGTCTTTATATGTTTGATCTATGGTGTTTCTGTACCATGGAAAGAGTTACGTGGCTGCATCAAATATGCACTGAAGTAGTGTGTGAGTGGAAACTTGGTAATGATTCCAATTAGTTGGATTAGCAGATAAACTCACCAGGTTAAGGTTGTTGTGGCATGTGCTATGTATTCCAAACCTTAGGATACATAAGATTTTTTACTGCTTTGTACGGCTGTTGCCAAATGGTCGTGGGTGGACAGGTCACGACTGCTGTCAGACCAAATGCCGTGGGATATTTGTGCCTTACTGGCTGTGTCCCACGTGAGCGTGATAATCTACGCGGTATTCCATTTGGTTCTTTTAACAAGGATTACTTTTTGTACTCCTTTACGCATTACCAAAATGTATACCACTAGAGTGCGATCTCCATCAATTCGGTGATTAACGGTTTTAAGTTGTTGCTTTCTTTGTGAGTTTCTCGTTGATTTTCACTGCCATCAAGGAATAAAATCATTATGCTTGAAATAACTTCGCAACTTGTTGTAAGAGACATCTGCCCAACTGGCACTTTTTAGTGCCCGCAAATTAAGTTGCAAATTAGACTTCATTAAGTTTACCTTAAATTTGACATTTACGACTTTCTACAACCATTTTTTAAAGGTTAAGTGGATTTACCTAAGTTTGAGAACACAGTACAATTTCTTTTTAATCCGCGTTTTACCTGGTGAAGCCAGCTATACTTCAAAAAAGACAAAAAACGGATTAAATCCATGAAGCAAGTTACGGTAAGGACGGCGGCAATTGTGGTTGTTTGCTGCTCCCTCAAACTAACACAAATCTGACAAGAAACACTGGAGAATATAACAGCACTCTAAGGTGACTGTTTATTTCTCGATCCTACTGTATCAAAACAACATGTCGTGGTGCGACCTCAATACATGATGTAATGCCCCCGGAAAGAGAATATTGTCTATAGGTTCAGTGACTTAGTGGACTTGTACCACCTAACACATGTGCAGGTGTACACGGTAGTCCTAGTTTTTTGAGCATATGGTTTTTTCCCTCTCGAAAGATAAAGACTTTTCATTTCTTTCGTCAATTCCTATAAGGGACTGTCAGCACTGATATTTTGCGCATAATCAAGTTGCTGTAATGTGAAATACGCAAGAATGTACATTATTTTGCTTAAACTTAGTAAATGATATCAAATAAGGTTTTAGATCGTCTTCACTGTGTATGTATTTTTACCGCGTTTTACATCAACTCGCTTCAGTTCAGCTCAGTTCATTTTTAAACTCCCTACTAAGTACGCTACTAAGTAGTAGCGCACATTGGTTTGGGATGCTTTGCAATTCACGCGATTTACGACATACCCAGGGCCGTGCACATACAACATTCGAAGTGACAATCTATTCTTATCAGGCTAGCTGAACTTTGTTTGTTACAACTGTTACATCATTCGAATTCTCTTTACAGTTGTTGTTCGCCTAGCATGTGATCAGCAGATGAACAATTCGTTGCAACCTCTTATATAAAACAAGTCTGACAGGGCTCGCACACTTTATTCGTAGTGTTAGCCTTATTTGCAATGACGTGACTGTCCCATTTGCCGCATGTTTCTTTGGTACTGGCTTCAGTTTTTGTGAGAAATCTGTTTACACGCTTGGGTGTGTTTCTCTTCTACTTAATCTTTTCCCCCAGTCGACCACACTTTTTTTCTTCCTAACATCTACACAGTCGAGTACCACAGAGTTTGACACATTCAAGTTAAATCACAGTGGAAAATTAGTGAAACGTTTTTCTGAAAATGATTGACAAGCGTCCAAGTAAGGGGAAGGTTGAAGCAACTTTTCCACAAAAACAAATACGGCTGTGACGTCTGCTACCTATTCTATTTGATTTGCTCAAAGCACTTTTGTGTGTTTTATTTTTATGAGGATTACACATGGCGTTTTTTATTATGGAGAAATTCCCTATGCTAGTTTGATTCTTTATGCATTAGTCACGAAAAATCAGTATTTTTATCTCTACAGTGATTTCATAAACTGCCACATGAACACTCCCGGTTCTTTTGAGTGGCTTGTTCTGGTTGAAAAGCTGGATTCTCAAACTAAGCTGTTGAGTAGATATCGAACTGGTTTTCACGAAAGACTCAGCCGAGTCTTTGAGTTATGATACTTTTTAACTGAGTGTGCTTCACAAAGATTGTTTCATGTTTCAGTTGGTACGGTATTCAAGATATTGCGGCTTATTTCCACAAAGGAAGCTACTCACAATGATGCCGAAAACTCTTTGACAGTTCACGACCGGTTTTGCCCTTCTTGGAGCTCCTCAGGTAGACTCATCCCCCGAATTTCCGTCAATCTTGTCAAAAACAAGAGAATTAGTTGAGTCCCCAGTGAACATCAAATTCATGAGGGAGTAAGAGTATTTGTCGAAATATGTCTAATTTTGGTTCAAGATGAACATAAGGTTGATGGAAACTTGGAGACTGCACCTACCCAGTGAGTCCCAGGAGGAACAAAGCCAGTCGTGGACGGTCGAAAATATTTCAGCAACTTTATGAGCAATTTCTTTTATGAAACAAACCGTTAGGCACTTTGTGTATCCATCTTGATTGGTTCGAACCCAGCCGGTATCCAGTAATTGTTGAATGGCGTGAATGGTTGGTGCAAAAGTTCATGGACCAGTATCTATAGATGCGAAAGCCCATTCGGAGATTTTGAACTCGAGATGACCGTGGTTAATATGCGAAATTACCAATCGAACGGTCCATGGTTTGAACCCAAAACCAGCCTTTCGACTACTCCCGTCTTGGCTTAAGTAGTATCTCAGTCCCAGTTTTTCATTCGATCGGCATGACAGCTTGGCACCGAATGCATAATAAAACTGGACGAATATACTATTTTGTTATTTTATCCGAAGATGTTCCAGAACAATGTGTTTTTAATATTTCACTAGTCGAACAATTACAAAAATACTATTGTGAGCTTGTGTCGTAGATAAATTTACCGGTACTAAAATGCCTTTAGCGGTGTGTTAAGGTACTGGTAAATCGGCTGCACTTTGTTCTGTCAGGGAAGAGGTTTTCATGGTCGGTGAGCATAATAATCGTCATTGGAATTGTGCTTCACAAAACTTGAGTGTGGCCTTCATAGATCAGGGGGCCATGTGCATATATAAAGTGTGAAGTTACAGAGTTTAAAATAATCATTTCGCCTTTCAGTTGTTCGTGAATTTAAAAGCACCTTGGTTCAGTCATTAACTTAATTAAAGGAAAACTTTGCTGCAAAACAAACGATCTTTTTCTTTCAATTCTGACAAACCCCGAAGAACAAGTTTTTCATCTGGCAAAGCTTAGCAAACACGCTGGACGACGTTTTTGAGTTCGATTTGAAGATTGCGTCACCACAAGGTGCATTGGAGAAACACACATCTGGTCTCGTGAATTGTTGATCGACAGTGCATTCCTAACCGACAATTTTTTCTACGTAAATTGTAACATTCATTTCAAAGTGATTTCAAAACGTTTGCGAATTTCAATTTTTTCCCTTCATTTGCTCTCATAGAGGTTTCTCCGCAACTGACAGGGCTGCTCATTGATTAAGCATTATTGTAGTGTGGCGTTTCGGTAAACGTTTACAAGGGAAGTGGAAAGTATAAGGAAGCTCACTGGTCACATACCAATTAATAACAGGGGTCAGGCGCACATTTCCAGCGTTATAGGTTTTCGCTTAATAAGTGAATTTTTTCGCAAACGTCTACTGATGTTGAACTTTTCCTGATCCATCGGAAAATAGACTGATAACCTGTAAAAACATCGTTCGGGACCTTCTAAACCCTGAAAAATTTAGTAGCCTGATCCTTTTTGCGTTAAATTTGTTGCGATTTAAAAGGGAAGAAATGGAACATACTGGCGTGAAATCGCACAGATGCTCATAGTACAGTTTCAACAAAATGTATCTTTTTAAGCAGCAAGTTCATCGTAGATTGTGTCTCCATTCAGTTCTAAACAAAAGCTTTTTAAATCCTCTCAATCGCTTTTATCTCTATTCATGATGAAGTTTGTTTCCTTTGTTTCTACAATGCGGGTGCAATTTCCAACGTGACGAAGTTTGAGCGAAGATGCAAATTATTAGCTGGCGTGTTTATTTATTTTGCCTTATAGCAGCTGACTGACACTACGGGACAATCCAGCTTCTGAACACAGTTGTAACGAAGCAGATATTATTGTGTCGTGCTTGCTTTTCTGCATCTATATGCATATACACATATAATGTACATAAACGAAGGTGCTTATTCTGTCTAATCGTCTGGCCTTTTTTCTTGGTAAATCTGTGTAACAGTGTGTTTCCTTGTGTATTTCCGTTGGGGCTAGAAAACTGATTGATTTCCAATAGCAAGGAAAGTATACGGACTTCACATCCAGCGTAGCACGAATGGTTGTTTGCAGCCTTTGGAGGTTATGGAGTTGTAGTACAGTGTCGTTCAGTGATGCGCACCGTGTGAAAGGAGTAACGAACACTCTTTTACCACCAGTTGATTTATGGTACACTCGACCAGGTAAATTGTAGCGGAAAACCGGCAGAAAGTTAAACGCCTAGGCAGTTAACTGACTTTTGGGCAACTTTACTTCGCTTTTACGCAAAACAGGAGTCCGTGCTTTTTCCTATTTAATTCTAGCAAATAAATAACTCGATGGTTTTACGCGATTTTCACTTTCAGCCTGAAGTTGTAGATACGAAGACATGCGGACGAATTATCGTCTACAAACAGGCACGCATCTTTGTCTTTTTAAGTGCATTAACTTCAGGGAGCACAAAATTCCAAAGTTGTTATTTTGACTGTGCACGATTTGGGATGCAACCGTAAGTTCACCTTCGTAATTTGACGTCAAAACCTTTGGATAGAAAACGAAATGATCGATTTTGTCTCTCAGGATTGTATGGAACAGCTGGCTGCAAAATGTAGCTGGGTTCATGTCTTGATTCCCGGACAGGGCGATGGTGATCGTGATCTTCCTCCAAAGTGAGTTTTATGCAACGAAGTGACTGCCTGATTATGAATAACTGTCGTGGAGTTGTTCCTTATGGAATACGCACGTCCTTGTAGTGTTAAACTACTCTGAATTCAGTAAAGGTAAATCCTGTGTGGTTAGATGTAGGCGATAGGTGAGTTACATTGCGAATGTGAGAAAACAAGGTTTCAGGTGTTGTGAACGGATGTCTGGAACTTGAATAATGTAAATGAAGGTACAAGCTGTCTTGAGTGGAACTCGGACGAAAGCTTTTTCGGTTATCCAAATAGCAACAACTTGCGATTCGCTGTGGAAGCCATCAGTGGTTGATTCATTAGGTATGACGGAACATCATGGAGGCTAAGTGCAACGCCAAGCAGCCTCCTCCATACCTAATACGGTAGGGCACTTGTTCTCTAAGCGTCGGACATGTTTTGGTCCCTTTCCACGAAAGCTCTTGTTTATGGACTTCAGGATGGTTTACCTGAGTATAATAGTCTCAAAATGTAATTGTTAAATTTGTATTAACATATTAGTTTTATCAGAGGCGTTGACGTGACAAGCTTCGTGTGATTACAAGGGCTACCAGACAAAAACTTATCATTCATCCTAAGAAAGTCATGACAGTCACTTTACTTTGCCGCTTGCCGAATCCTAGGTGACCTTATCCTAGCAATAGTTACATCAAACTAATAAATTATGTCTTTTGTGTAAAGCGTAGGTTTTTAATGCTGGTTGAAGATTGAAAAGTTGAAAAATTCTGTTTTATTTCGCGCGAGTGGATCACACAACTGATCCTCCCAGGTTTTGACGCTGTTTGATGAGTGAAATTACTCCATTCAACGTGAACGCTGTTGCCGCCAAAAGAGAGTGTTGTACCCACAATCACATATTTTTCTCTAACCCTGCTGACATTATTCATTTGATCGACTGAGATGCCACTGCAGATGTTCGTTTGCAACCCACCGTTTGGTCCGAATATCAGTTTTACGGCACGCAGTGAGCGCTTAATTACTGTTTTATGATCTTCAAGGAACGTGAAATCTAGTTCCGTAAGTGAAATTGAACACGTTTGGCGAATACTTATTGGATAAATTGTGAAACATCAAGATTGACTCTGGGCTTCCCGCTGATCTCTTGTGCAGTCCTTAATTACCTTGAGGAATCTGCTAGAGCTTTTCTCTCTGCTTGCCCCTTCGTCAGCTACAATTTTCCAACCATGCAACAGCTTGGTGAGGCGATGGGTGAAGTCTGTGATGCAATGGGGTAAATCCACTTTTTTTTTACTTCTGATCATACGTCTTTATTTAGTCTAAAGCAGGTTGTTCTCTTTGGCGAAGGTGCTGGGGCTAACATTCTCGCAAGGTTAGCGGTAAGTCCCAACCAAACAGTACTATTTTGTTTGCATATCTAGATGCTCAGAGAAGACTTGGTTCTTGGGGCCGTTCTGATACATTGTACGGGAACGGCCGCTGGATTTGCGGAAACTATTCGGGATAAAGTAAGTGTAAAAATCTTGAGATTTTCAGCTCTCTCCTGGTCCCATAGATCCCTGTCTTAAGTTGATGATTTCTACAGGTACCTTTGTGACAACGTCAGCTCTTGAATTACCCAGCCATAGTGAAGCTATCCTCTTTTTGAATGCATATTATTTTCATTCTGTGAACATGTAATGCTCTTGCGGTACAAATAACCCTATTGCTGGTTGAAATTAGCCTAGTATTTCAAAGTTTTTGGCAGCTCTCTTATGTGTTACAATGGGATTCTGAACTTATCAGATAAAAGTGTGGAAAATACTTTTGTCTAGGTTTATTCACCTCCGGTCGAATCAGCTTAGGCTGTTTTTGTGGATCAGTTCATCAGCGGACGAAAAATGTAAGAATGTTCTTACTGTCGGGTCTATTTATCATGAAATGAAACTAATTATACGAAAAATTCACGATCGACTGGTGTGACGCCACTGTGTACGCTAAATGTGCGTTATCGGATTACACAGGTAGGGATATTCGACTCACCCAAAAAGACAGAAGCTTACATGGCATTGCCCAAACGATAAACGGACTGACTAGTTAGTAGTAGCGTTTTAAACCAAGTATAGCGTCATATATGAATCCGACTTATAGTGAGAAATTAGGATTGATTATGTAGAAATTTCAAATTTTTGCATGAATAAAACAGCTGAGACTGACAGGTTTTTAAGAGCCGTCGAAGGCTCGCTGTGTGGTAACAAACCTTGAATTGGGGTCACGATATCCCGAAGCAAAAGATCACCTATATCTCGCGTCTACTATAAGATAAATGGAGTTCAGGAACTTCTTGTTGAGTTGGAAACCAGAACTTTGTTTATCAATCTCCTGGCATCTTGGACTACAACTGCTACACTTGTATGATGACACTGTCTCTGTACACCGTTGCTGATGCGCTGACTCTTTCTAAAGTTGTTCCCAGGAAAAACCGCATTTTTCATGAGATTTACTCACAGTTGATCTGTTTGTGTCCAGTTAAGCGGTTTGATGCCTCCAAAAACGAATTCTATCTCTTGAAAAATTAATTCTTGCAGTTCTTAATCGTTCACTGATTCAGATGACTGTGTATCGAGCCTTATGTTTATTTTAAACTTGTCGACCGAGTTCCCGTTTTTCACCGCCGTAAGAGTCTAACCTACTGAAATGTTTGATTGAAAAGATCCCACTAGCACTACTAGGCGGCTGGCGCCCTTTTCCTTGCACAGAAGAGGTTTGCTTGTTCGTCATATATATTGACTAGTAGTGTTTCTCTTTTCTCAGCTGATCGGGTGGAAACTGAATTCAATCGGGATGAATCCAGCTGCAGAGTCCTATATGCTGTTGCATCGTTTTGGATCAGTAAGTGAAAAAACAGTTCTTCCAAACAGTTTTTCATGCTGACAAATCTAAAGCTTATATGTTTTGAAGATAGATCGTTCTTGTCACATGGTTTTCATCATTGCCTTGATCAGAACATTTCATTGGAGAAGACGTGTGCCATTAATAGTGTTTATAGTACTTTGAGACAATCTTTCGTCTTAAAGCTCGATTGTGACGGTCTGTTTAGAGCCATTCAATAAATGTAGTCCGTTTGAAAATCCAATTGGTTTACGGGATCCTATATTTCGAACGAAGTGGGATATAAATCTATGCAGATCTTGCTACCTACCTCCGCGATCGGCTAATCATGGACCTTGAAATTTCTGGGATTGGCTGTCACTTAGGTGGTAGGCTGTTGCTCACAGCAGATTAAACTGAAGTTATCAACCTTGAGCAATACAGTGAATTTCGAAGTCCAGAGCTCTAATTCTAGGATTAAGTGATGCAGTAACGTGAGGCTTGTAATCCGATTGAGCTTGTCATCTGCCAGCTTTAGTTTTCCGAACTCAGTCACCCTCGTAATAGGCTTCAGGTTACAACGCATCACAAACTAGGCTCCTTACAACATAAAAGCTTGTCGGCGAGTGCATAAAATCTGGTTGATTAGACCCGTCATACACTTCAACACGCGTTATTTCGAGTTCACACCCAGTTTTCCGCTAGCAGAAATTAGTGTCAGTCACGAGCTAATTCTACTGTGTGCACATCTTTTTAGAAGGGAAACGTTTATCCCCCTCGTTTGTTGTCCTGACCTGATTCGCAGAATAGTTCGTACGTCACTTCAGCCACCTCTGAGGGTCAGAAGATAAGGCAGTGCGACTACCCTCATTTGAGAGCTTTTATGAGAGAACAGTTTGCATGTGAAATTTCTTCAAGGACAGACTCCTCGATAAGCGCGTTCCGTTCGACACAATGAGATTGCTCTCTACAACACGTTCGGATTTTTCTTCCTTCTTTTATTTTTACACCCTTATTTCTGAAGCAATATGAGTAAAGCTTATCAAGACGTGGGCGTGAACCCAATTCGAAGACAACCCCTCGTCGAAATGGTAATCCGTGAACAAAACACCCAGCGATTGCACCCCAAACACGCTGACTTTACCACTTGACCTTCAGTAAGGTTACTTACGGCTACTGCATTGCACCAGAAAGACTGCACAATGGTCTATGGTTGACTTTGAAACGCCTCCGCTTCTCCTCGATTGTCGTGCTACAGCGTTAGTTTGACTTCCTGTTCCGCTTTATATTAGCACGTTTATATAAACGTTTCCGTTTTAGTTTTATCGTTGCTTAGTTTGACCCAGTTCTTTATTGTGGTGGCCAAGTGCACATGTAACAAACGATCAACGTACACCTGGAACAGTTTAAAAATTCTAATGCACTTCTGCATACAATGTCTGTCTGAATTCAGTACGGGGACAGATGGTGATATCCGTGAGGACTTTCATAATGAAGACCTTAAATGAATATGGGAACTTTTGGGTGTTGCTCCTTAACTACGTACACTTCTAACCAGCCTGATCCGCATCACCAAATTTCTTGTTCGACCTCAAACGTATGAGCACCCCGCTGATGAACAGTTAGCGAGTGCTGATCTAGTCTGTTATGAAAACGCAGTCAAAATGGATCACCCATGAACGTCTTTTATTTTTCATAGTCCCAGTCAACAAGTACCTAGCCTTGTCAGCCTGCCAGATAACGTGGTAATGAGGATTTTTAGATTAGGCTGCGCTTATGGCAGCAGTAATTAACCATAGGTAGTTCCAAGCACGGTTTCTTTTTTAACTAATCGCAGACTGTCTGTTTCATTCCATTAGGATAAAAATGTCATTGGTTTTTTTGAGCGACTTTTCGAACCTCAAGTGATGTAGAAACTATCCTCTCAAAAACGCAGCACTGTACAAAACCTATGACCTTTCTGATACATTTACCCATCCGTTGTTCAGATTGGGGACGCTACAGACGAAATGGAAATGAGGCATGCGTTGGACAGGTTCAGACATTCGCTCCGTGAGGCAATTAATCCAAGAAATTTGAACAAATTTATCATGTCGTTCATGGCGTAAGTTTATCTGACTACCATTGATGTGGGTCTTTTATAAATACATTTTATTTTAGTTTCCCAAAGCAGATTAATTAGTGACGTGTTGCACGCCTCGGAACGATTTACTCAAGTTGACTGTATGCGACTAAGATATTTCGCAGTGCTGCCCACGTGGCTTCGGTGGTTTGAAGAAACATACAAGTGTGGCCGTAGGCACCAACTGGGAATAACATGCGACATTAGTTAAATTTGAGTGGGAAACGGATTCAACGACTTTTCTCCAAAATTTCGGCTTGCAATTATTAACGATTCTTGTGTTGGATAGCGTTAGTCACAGGTGAACAAACAAGTGGGTAAAAAGTAAAGTAATGGGAGAAACTGTTGGATACATTCAGCAGACGGAGTCGCTTGGAAAATTGCTAATTCTCATGCGTACTTGTCCTCACTTCCTACTTCAAATGAACGGTTGTCGTTCTATCTGTTTTCATAGTCAGCTTCTAATAAGAAAAGAGAAGAACGGAGATAGAGATCCTGTTTCCTAATGCGTCACACCTTTATGTGGTACCAGAAATCACGTGCAAAGGCTATATGGAAATCACGGCTACAAGCTCTTTAATTAAAGCAAAAGGAGTAAGGGGTTAGTTGGGAGGTACATGGGTCAGTAGGTCACAAAATCCTCTGGAAACTGAGAATGACAAGATGCAGGTGATTGTAAAAACAGTGTCCAAAGTATTGCTACGCCTTAGACAATCCGGAAACTTTAATATGACAACAAATCCTAGGCTCTGTGATCTCCAAAAGTGCTTTAAACCGGTATAGTTCTCAAATCCGTCCTCTATATATTAGATTCTCCTCATACTGCTTTGGCTAAATTGTTAGTCAGACTGTTAGATCCAATTAGGAGAAAAGTGTGGACAGCCTGAGAGGTGGTTTTGAGTTTGTCGACCAGATCAAAAATTTGAAGTTTGGGAAACATTCTATGTTTTCTCATGAAGAGACAGGTAACTACATTTGTGACTTGATTAAATGTGACGGAAAAGATATTGGAAGTCCCATCTTGGACCTTAAGGAACTGCCGCTACTTTGTGCCCACAACGTTCATTTCGACAGAAGAACGGTGTCTGCTTTGGGTTCCGTCTTGGCGAATTTCCACATGACCAAACTTAAGACACTTACTGTGCAGTTTAGTTTTTTCTTTCATTAAAGTGTATGTACCCATGATTTCCGCATAACCTCTGCACGGGATTTCTGGAATCAGAAATTTGTGATCTATTAGACAAGACGAGAAGTCACCGAAAACAACTCCTGTTTGCTACCTCCGTTCTCCTCGTGACTTTCATGGGTATTCCTAATGGAGTGAAATAAGATTTCATTGACTTGCACTCAGGGAATGATAAACAGAACCAGAACATTCGGGAAACCCCAGTCTGGCTGGATGAAGTTATGTGTCAGCATCATTTCACCTTCGTCGGTGGATCAATGTACTATCACTGCATGTGGACAATTTATGGTAATAGGTGAGGTGTTCATGCGAAATTACTTAAGCAAAAGGCAGCTCACATATGCTTGTTTGAGTATACCAAAAATGTCCTACTTACAAACACTCGAAAAGGTGCCGTGCGATCATATTGTAGTCGTATAAACTGAATGGATTCTTTGTCCAGTTTCTGAGCTTCTACTGCGGTAATTCGAGTGAAGAACTATGGTTCGTCTTGGGTGGACCTGATGTGTACGTTTGTCAACAGAATATTGTCTTTATTTTATTCTGTTATGTTTGAAAAGACGAGACAGAGCTCCAAACGCTTCTTGGTTCCCCATGCACATGTTCATTGTTGAAGTTCCCAATGCACCGTGGTTGTTTGTGTTTCGAACGACCTGAAGCAACATAGTTTTTCCAACATCATTACCATCTATCAACAAAAACTCCTTAGCACACAGGATGGCTCTGAAATAGATATATGTTCACCCGGGATTACAAGTATTGTGGTCTTAAGACAGTTTCGCAAGTTGCGTCAAGCATTTAGTAACAGCTCTGTTTGAAACTATACCCTTTCGGCGTTGAAGGAAAAAGGATTATGACAACTTACACACTCTTTACATACTTGCCTGAGATTTTGTTCGTTTACCTTGCTCATTGATTTTCATTACTTTCCCCTGCGATACGAATCCCCTGGCAGGCACGTTTCTTCCAGATATTTCCGGAAAACTGCTCCGATTTGGACGTTACTGCGGTCAAGTGTATTGTATTACGTGTTCTGGTTGTTTTTTATTGCCGGAAGTCCCATGACTCTGCTACTGGAATAAACGCTCATCGGATACCAAAACTATCGACTGTAAAGCCATTTTCTAACAAGATCATGATTACCTTTCCCTTGTGAGGGTTCCTTGAACCGAAAAGCTCACCAGGCCGTTAGCATAGGCGAGAGTAAAGGTACACGCGATCGTGGCACATAAACATTCAAGACTTAGTCGAGGAGCTGACAAGTGAACTCGGCATGTGACACTGTGGACAAACGTGGGGACAATAGTCAGACGGTCAATCGGTCAGTCAGTCAACCAATCAGTTAACACCCCTTCGGTGCAAAACTGCCGTGCCATCCGAATTAAGTACGAGGGGTGAGATAGTTCCGGGTTACCCAAGCCCCGACAGGAGAAAATACGTGTTTTTGACTTAGCGAATATACACTCATTTGCAAACTAATTTGGTTTTTTCGAGAGACTCACCTGGAACCCAGCTGAACCTCTCGTTTATGATGTTCCCACGTCGAACGGACGGCGTTACTGTCTTACGCTACGGTGAAGCTAATTGCAGTTGGTCGGACGCAGCAAAACGATTGTGTAACAGAGTCTTCTGACTAATCTGCATCCTACTGCGGTCATTCAACTCATGCTTCGTGCAAATAACCCGTTGCTTTCCTTGAAAGTTCACTCATATCGTTGGTAGTAGGCCGTAATCCTATTGCGCGCACCTACTTTGGGGAGCGTCTTTCCTTTTAAAGCCGATAATTCTGGAACCAAGCAACTTCGTTCATCTTGAAAATGTTTTCTCTCCTCAAGGGTGCTCTATCGTGAAATGGAGCACCAAACTCATACAGAGACAATGAACACAACGCAATGGATCCAGTCGATCCACCGAGTTAAAACCTACCGTTCAAACAGTGGTAATAATTTTTATTGGTTTCGAGCGAGGCAGATAAATAAGTCACCTGGTATGGATAAAAAGCTAGAGGAGAGGAGTAACTCGAGTGAGCGGAGAATTGCAAATCAACCACCTCAGTCAAAGTGAAACGTCTCCACAACAGTCTCTGCACTCGTTCCAGCATTTGATTCGTAGGAGAACGGGACAAGTCACAGCCGCGGCGGCACATTAACAAACCACCTGACGTCATGAATTAGGGAAAGTGAGTTTCGTTGGTGTGCTAGTTTGAATGAATGGTTGTGCCACCAACACGAGCTTGAGAACGACCGATCACTAAAAAAGGAGTTCCGGCGGCGGCCTCGCTCTAGTCTGGACAAAACTCCTTGCTGGTTGAAAAAGTCAGATTAGGGTCTTATACGGATACCAAGTAGAAGTATGCCTTAACACCGTCAACGGTAATCCTTCCCGATACAGAATTGATCATATTACTCCAGCACTAGTGTTTTGATACAACCGACGTACCCCAAACAAACTCACGGCTATAGTTTTGCACTAAGAAGGTTCCTTATGGGTCATCTCTAACACATATCTCAACCTGGCTGAGAATGTTTTGACGTCATCCAGAGGACTTTAGTCTTATTGATATCAAATAAATGATCTTCTCATATGAAGAAGACGAACTTTTGCCATTGGAACCGGGTTAAGTTCGGTGATATGTATTTTCGCTTTATTGAGTAGAATTTACTACACATGAAAACCAGGAATCAATTATTAGCATTTCACGACCCCCACGACATGACACACAGTCCAAGTTTGTCCTTCTGTTTATTAGAGATCGACGGTGGAAGCACGAGTCACTTTTTTAATTTAAAATTTTACTGAAAGTTTAACGGATCAATTATGAATGGGATCTGAGATCTCCCGGATGAACTGAGGTTTCAGGTCATGACATTTCCATCGGTCCATTTCCAATAGCTGCGACATCATTAGTTTTTGAAAAATGTGTCAGTGACATTGGTTGCAAGAAAAAATATCAGTGGTTCAATCGGGAGAATCTGTACCAGTTCGAGTTTGACCACTCACATTAGACGAAAGGCTACATAGAATTTTGAGCAATATGCAAGTGAGGACTCGGCATGTCCGTTACAATAGAAACAAACCGACAAGTATGTAGTATGTGACACCAGAATCAAGTATCACTATTGGGGACGGCTCCTACGACCCTCATTACGTTGAAGTAAATGAGAAACCTGAGAGTTACTGGGTATGCTAGCTTAACAAAAAAACCGATAACCAGGAAGTTTGTCAACAAAATTGTTTTGGAGTGCGATGTAGTAGACCAGGCGAGGAACAGCGTTTTCGTTATATAACCTATCGATGCTAAAAGGACCCCAAAAACCTGATTCAAATGTTATTCACACAACTATTGCAGGGGGTTTCGTATTCACATTTCACGTGAAATGTAGACGAAAATCAATTAGATGGACTTTGTTCTTGTGAATTGTATGCTTGTGAGTTTTTCTTGGGTGGCCTTAAAGGGAGTAAGAACAAAACCTGAGCTTGAGAGTTTACCTAATGATGCGGTCAGCTTACAAAATGCCAAGTTACGGGTGGCCTTTCGTTCCTGCTTGAAATAACGGATTTGACGCAGGTGGGAACTGTTGAGTGGCCCAGTTGTTTACAGTTATAAGCCTCTGGCACTCAAACCGTCTTGTTAGTATGCAGTGGAACACTTGGCGTTTTTGTTGATGATGATAATGATGGTGATGACGGCGAGAGAGCGATTCCGGGAGATCAGATTTGCTTCTGTGTGCAGTTACCCAATGGGAATTTCTATACATACGTGCAAAAGTCTCCGTCCACTCAATGAAATCTTAACAATGCTTTTGCTCACATAGCTTGCTTGTCATTATTATATACATTGTTCATTAGTAAGTTGCCTACTAGCAACGTGTGACAGAACATTTGTTTTTAACATGGGCTTTATCACTAACAGTTCCAATCGCAACGTCAGGTTTATCTGCATGAGCACAAGCCTGTTGGGAAAACCGAGTGGCCACTGTCGGAGGTATATCGCTATCTCTTTTGGTCCTACCGCACCCTAAATATAAGTTTTTTCCATTCCTTTGAGTGCCAGAAACAACAAAACTTTGTATCCACCATTGAAAAATGCTCAGCACACCATCTCCTCGATGGGTTGACTTGTGTCGCTGTTCTTTCTACCCAAGAAGACGCTATCAATAGTGACTATGCCCTCCTATATCCAGGCGTTTCCCAGACTTCATTTCGGTTTGTCTTGTGATTGACTTGCTGAGTATTCTATATTAACAATTAGGGAGCACATGTTGAAGATAATCTAGCACGTTCATTGACAGACAATTCAGAGTTGCCTGAACAGTTCCAAAATGAAGGCAGACTGGCGGACGTTATTGTTTTCGGAGTCTCGTCGTCAGAGAGTGCGTATCTAGGGGTCATTATAAGGTAAATAATGAAATAGACAGCTAAGATTGGTTATCAGGTTAAACAGGTGGAGTCGCACATTTGATTGTCAGTACAAACCAAGTATAATCTAGCTAGATGGCGTAAGGTAGTCTGAGGGGCCGTTTTGCAAATAGGTTGATCGATTCAACTCACGTAACCAAGGAATACTTAGAATTCGTACGAATGGTTTTTGACAGCCTAGCACCGGATTTCGCAAATGCTCCGGCCGCAGTCAAGCAGTGCCTCCGGGTCGATATTGGGAGTTTGTGAGGTGCTTAGTAAATAACGGTACATGGTTTGCTCGGATTGACCGCATGACCGGATTTAATAACGGGACAATCTAGCTTTTGACCGGGTTATTAAGAAGTAAGAGAGATGCCTACGTATTCTCTTAGCAAATCGCTGTGACGTGTGCCCAATGTATTCCGCTGAACAATAGTAGACCAAGCAATACACGGCCATATTCTCAGTGAGGGCCGGTATTAGTCCTCTGAGGTTTTAATCGAGGAAAGGGATGTTCGCAAACCAAGAACATAAAGCTGCAGCGGGATCATGCGTTGTGGTGATTGAAACAGACTGCCATTGACCGTGTCTACTCGGCAGATTAACTTCATGGGGATGAAATCAAGCAGATTTGCCTCATTATCAGGGTCATGAAAGACCGCCTGATAGGACGTTCACGCATTCTTGGCCTTAAATCTGTCTGGATAATCGTCCTTTTCAGTCCAGAGTCCACTGTATCTGCGGACCGGATCCGCCCCTCGGTTTGTCAAAGTGTAAGTCAGGATTCGTTTCTCTCTCCAAGTTATGTAGTACAAATAGAGAAAAATTTTTTAGTAGGTCTAGGCCCCCATTCAGTCGTTCGAGTTCGAGTTTATTCATAAAAGCATCACGCAACAGAAAACTCGAAAGATAGCATATGCTGTTTCCACTAATTCCTTTTTACTATGTGGCATTCCGTTGAGAGTGTACGCTGTAAGTGGTCCCCTCAGGATCGTGGTAGGAAATAGGAGTTTCAAATCTGATAAGTCAGAGTAATTACAGATTTATAATTTCCATGAGTCAAACGTTGATACGAGGGGATGTTTCGTCAGACAAACAGGTAGTTGTGAAGCTAAAATCAACATCTTTTGTCAACTGCACGAACTCAAGTGTGCGACGGGGAGTGAATCGGCATAAACGTTGGTGTACGTTTGCGTAATTTTGGTCGACCCCTGGGCAGTTGCATCATGTGGCGGAATGCAATATCAAAATAGTTCTCAATGGGATATCTCTTTTATGAACCTTAAACAGACTATAAGTTCGTCGGATCATGGTGCAAACAGGTTCGAGAAATTGAAATAGGACTGGAGAATAAATCTTACCTCAGATATTTCAGGTAGGTTTTTTGCTGCTCCTCAATTACTTGAACCTGGTATTTTATCCTCTGCTTTCTGCCAAAAGTGTCACCCAAGATCTGTATAATCTTTCAAGCACTAGCTTAATAGCGTCCCCTCAGCTTTTTAGGCTTTTTAGCGGTGTACCTATTCTCATTTGGAGGGCACCTGGCACGTCCACATGTTTCTTAGTGAGATTATTGTTATACACCACCTTCACGTGAGTGCACTCGAATTTAAGGTGGTCTAAGTTGAGGTTGCTGAGATCTGGACGAAACCACTAGTCCAATCAAATAGAACCTCAAATCGCACTTTAGCAGTTATTCAATTATCCTTACAACATGGACAGCAGAATTTTGGCCCTAGCGATAAGAACTTTGAAAAAATACTTTGTACATAATCCTCCGGCTTCTCTAGGAATCTGGCTATCGGCTTTTGCTTACGCAGTGTTCTTTTAGCTTGGATGTTTTGTTGATAACCATTTAGCGCACTATATAGGCTACTGACGTTCATGGCCTGAAACATCCTTTACAATGCAATCAAGACTTGCTCAAGCCACGTGAACTCTGGAGGTTTCAGAAAGGGTCAGTGAACAAAGGCTCGGTGCTCATACTCACCACGAATCGGGCATTTCACAAAGCATTATCACGACAGACGGCTAAACTTACGATGTATTACTCGCTATCGTTAGTTGAACTTAAACTGACATGACAACGGACAGTGTCTTTGCTCAACCAAGTGTATGTACCACACTCCACGAGGCTCCAAGATTCTGTCTTAGGTGGATCAATTGTCACAACGCTATCGTTTGCCGAAAGCCTCTCAGTGTTTTGTAGATGGAGCATGGATAACACTACAGTACTGACAAGACTGCTCCGCTTTCTAAAGTGATCGTACTGCGATTACCAGGATTACCACTCGCAACAGGCACAACCAGAATAGATAGTTGATGTACGACCTGATCCGTCTGATCAGACTGGAATTAGAGACCAGACGTTTTGCTTGGTCCGTTTTCGCTCATACTACGGTTTTGTTTTGCTGTTCTTAGTTACCGATGCGTATTGCAGTTTGTAGTTTTCATTGCCAGAGTTAATAAAAAAAGTATCCGTGAAGTGCAGTAACTTGGAGCCTAACTTGGTTTTTATCGTAGTATGAACGGTTTTTTTAATTTTTACTTGAGACCTCGTTTCGTGGGGAGAACAGTCTATGCTGGATAGCCTAGAAAGAGGGTACGGTGTACAGTGTCTTACTGTCTCTATTGGGAGTCATCAGCATCAAACATGTCGCAAAGCTATACGGAATTTCGAGTCCACAATCTTTCGGCCAGTTGGTGAACACTTAACATGAACCTCAACTAAATATCTCATTTATGCTATTCTTCAACTAAACGTGTTGCATGCGCAAAGCCGACCTCGTGTTCTAGTTGTTACGATATTGAAGATCTCACAGTACATTTTCTTGACGGAACACATTACTCATAAGGTTGCTGTCGAAGAGTTTTCGGAAGAAAAAAGAAAGCAAGTGCATAATATCTTAAGGCAGCATCCGGCAGCCATCTCAAGGATGCTTTTGCGGAGATTCAAGCCCATATCGTCGAAACGCAAATCCGTTGAACTGCGCGATTTCAGGCATCGGTAGAACAGCGAATAGATCACACCGCACAATGCTTCCAGTGACACGCAGATCCTTCACGACTAGGGACTATAGGAATTCACTCGTGCTTTGTGCTTTAGATGGTTGTGCTGATGGGTTGTTTTGATTTCAGAAACCAACGAGCCTCTTCTGTTTCACTAGCTGGTTTGCTGCAACTGTGCTGCGTATTCATTTCCACATCTTCGTTGGTAAGTTGCACCAGACCAACAAGAAACAGACTAAAAAGGTGTCGGATATCTTTTGGAACATAGGACTTCCTATGAGAACACAGCAGAGAATTGTCCGGGCCCAACTCATGCTACCAGACAACGACACAACTGCTTTTGTTGGCGTAAACTGTGACCCCTGAACTTTAGAAAGAGAGTGTGATGAGAATTTTTACGTCAGTATTTTTCATCAGGAAATCTGTCATTTATCGGTGACACTGATGCCTGAGATTTTGAGTAGATGGCTGTTAATGTGTGGCAATTGTGCCCAGCGGGAGGATGAATCATTTTAAGTCGTGTATACACGGTTGACTTCCAGTTAATATACGTCGCATTCACCGTTTGCGTGTTAAACTCGGATACTACAACCGGGGATTTCTCAATACTACGAGTGACTTGATCTGCATGCTCCACTTTTGAAGTACATAGTTCACTTGTGGGTCACTTGACTGTCATTGTTTGTGTAAACTCTGAAACCACATATACAGTGCGGCTTGCCTGGGCGTTGTTTGTAACATGCCACCGATGCGATCCGACAGTTTCGAACATGTGAGATTTAGTGGTTATCAGTTCACTTTGATGGTCAATCACACGATATTGCCGACAAGCAAGCTGAAGCTGTGGGGGATGTACTTACACACCAAAGTGATGGTGCAGATTTTATCGTTGCAGTCTTGACCTACATAGCCGCTTGACAAAATAGTCAAATAAGTGTTAACTTTCACCAAGGTTTCGGCCAACGGTTCGTCCATGAATACTGGTGCGTTTGTTTGTATTGGGGGTTGCAATATGCACGTGCTAACGGCGGTGTGGTGGCTGATGATGATGGTGGTGGTGGCGGTGGACCACCAACGAGGGATTCGCAGGATGCTATCAACTTCCGTTGATTCTACCGGCTTCGGCTGATATTCCGCTGGCAGATATAGTTGACCTCAAAATGTAGGGGCGATTGGTCCGAGTGGTTTAGGTCTAACAGCTCACCAAGGAACAGCAGAAATTTGGTCCATATTTAGGTCAAGTTGTATCCATCACATGGAATTCGTGATGCAGTCAGGACTAAACACGGAGTCTTGTTAGTTTTCTTTGAATGTAGGCCACGGCCACACTAACACTTTGTCACACATGAAATTTCCGTTTTCCATTTTAGACGTACCAAGATAATCGAGAAAGTCGACTTGCTGAGGTGAGTGTCATGAAACGTACCAGAGTTTGGATGTGGAATCTAAGGTCATTTTTCTAATCAGTGACTCGGGTGATACCGTTCGCTCGATTTAAATACGCAACATTATTGATACTACGTTCATTCGAACACCTGCTCTCGCTTTGGGATTTGAAATATCCCAATCTTGCAAGTGACATTTGTGGAGAGAAACTGGTCTTATCGCGTTTGTAAAATGTATCTGTGTGAGCTTCAAAGTAACGTTATCACGACCGCCATCTTCAGCAAAAATCCTTTATATAACCCTTCTTTGTGCACTACGTTTGGGTGACATAGGGAGAAATGCTCAGACACAACCAAACTGCGGGTCCGTCAGGTGTTTCTGTAGATGAAGATAACATTACCGTGCATGACCGGTGAATAGTTCATGTAAAATGCCTCTTGGGAACTAGCAGTGCTACAGTGAACTTGCACAGCCACAACAAACATTCGAGCTTTCCTATACAAGTCGAGCTATCGAAAAAACTTTAATCGTCTGTGCCCAACTATGTGCCGCATTTCTCTTTCTAAGAAAGGCGAACTTTTGGTGATGTGGAAAATTTTTTTAATGGGAATCCTCTTCTAAATAGTAAACTGTTCATCAATCCCCAAAGTTTATGGGGAAAGGGGGTTGTCAAAAAAGAAGTGAATTCGTTGACCAAATCCCGATTAGTTGGTCAAACAACAACAGCTGAATGCATACATGCGCGCATCTGTTGGTCTTGTTATGGTTCCAGACTCTATCCGGTGTAACCCTGCGAAACCAGATGAACCGATTGAACTCTTATCAACCATTGAGGGAATGCAAATGGCAACGATCTTTCTGAATGGAAACTGACAACCAAAAGCCCTGCTGCACAACTCTGAGTGATGACACCTGAGTAATTGTTCCTATGGCCTATTTTCTGAGAAGATGATTGTGATAATTAGCTCATCAATCAGATCGTGAACAATGTGTAAAAGTGAGGAATGCGTGCGCTGACATCAACAAAGGCCGAAGATACGATGTATGAACTTTGATGAAATTCAATAGAACCGTAATGGAAAGAATTTTCAAGTTAGTACTCAGGAGACTTTGTAATTCGCTGTGGGAAATAATATTTTTTATTCGTTGTCTTCAACTGGCCTCCCTCCACAGCAGGATTTTTGTTTTGGCGTAGTGCTGGACTGTTGTTCGAGAAAAACCGGCCAAAAACAATGACCCCAAGCGGACGTTTAAACTGTTCTCAAAGCAAGACAACTTAACGAGTCACCTACATGGCTTATCAAAATGCTAGGATTAGCAGACACCCGTTCACACTGGGTCAAATTATTCGAATAAAATACCAGAGGCTTCTTTGCTGTTGAGCATTTAAAATCATCATCTTTCGATAGCTCGAGGCTGCTTCCTAAAAGATATGGTTTTGTAGCCAATAGGGAATATCTCAAGAGAGAAGCATTTCTGGTGATCTGGGATAGTGATTTTTCAAAGAAAGTACATCTGCGTTTGATCAACACTTGAGATACAGCCAGTGTTAGGCACTTGAGAAGGGATTAGCACACTTTGGTTCCTTTGTTATCCAAACTGCATGAAAATGTGGATGTAGGAGAATGAAATGTAATAGCGTGCAGTTAGATGTTGGTGGACGGCAAGCCAGCGGTTGCATTTTTATTCATGATGTACCAGCCAATCTAGCGGTTTCCATTGTGAACTTCGTGTTCCACTAGTCTTAACCTAAAAGCTTGTTGACCTCTACCTGCTGATATGAAATATGGAGTAAAAGAGCCATCTAGTCAGCTTCAAAATGAAGAATTCATATCTTGGGCGAAAAGAAAATGGGGGGGCTAATCTGGCGTTTGGTCTCAGACTTCGTGTTCCACTAGTCTTAACCTAAAAGCTTGTTGACCTCTACCTGCTGATATGAAATATGGAGTAAAAGAGCCATCTAGTCAGCTTCAAAATGAAGAATTCATATCTTGGGCGAAAAGAAAATGGGGGGGCTAATCTGGCGTCAGTTTTGGTCTCAGATGCCTTGTATGGGCTGTGTATTTGTGTGTATGTTCACTTTTAATCAGTTTCCAATGTTTTTTGGTGGCGTAATTTGAGTCCCGGTAGGATATTTATCAACTTACCGACTTTTCTCATTCTTAACCCTCAACCGATCCCGCAAATCCTCCAGATGTCCAGTTCTGCTGATTACTGGTTCTTTGGGTGCCCACAAGCCTTCCGTCCAGCGTTTTTACAATGCTCTTCTACAGTCCGCCCGCACTGACCCCGATCGCCTGAAGCATATCGAACTTGTTCAACTTGACGATGTCGGGAATGTCTTGAGAGGAGCAGTAAGTCATTCTCTTTGATGTGCAGTAGACGCATATTGAAAAGCGTTGTCTAGCACTACTTAGAGTTTTGTTGTAGTCTGTTCGGTTGAACGGACTAAAATGAGAGGTCTATCTCGGTTTTAGCGATTCCCCGCATAATAAGCACGTCTCCCGTGCCAGAAATCATCTTGAATCTCACCCAGGTCTCCTCAAGCTTGATGTCCCCATTCCTAAAAACCTCATTCTACTTTATACCAAGAATGCCAAGATTTTCCTCCACGGGGCCAGTTGTGAGCACGTTTATTTTATCGCCATAAGGAGCGCTTTGGGACCAACCCTAGCTAACATTTATATCCAAACTTGAGCGGTCTGCCGAAGCCGGCATATAACATGTATTACGACAGTAAAGCTAGTTAATTGATATGTTACTGGTCATGAACAGCTAGAGACAAGTCAAACACCTGCTATATGTTTAGAATACTCTGCGTCAGAACGGTTTCGTGTCTTGCTCTGTATATAGGAAAACTACGTGGAGTAGAAACCAAGTTGCGGAGTTTACGCGCGATGCAGTAAGAACGTCCACAGGTACTGGCTTCAGTCCACAGAGCTAAACAGGTTTGCACCTTGCATCTATCCACGAGGGAAACCAAACTGATGAAAGATGCACTACTATCAAATAACGAACCTGACCACTTCATCGAAAAACAATTGGCTCAGAGCGATAAACCAAAAGGATCGCTCACAGTACCGAAAAAGATTTCTATCGATATTCCATGCCTTTAGTTTATTTTAATGTATCTCTGCACCGTACTTACAGTGCAGAACAGTTTTGCGTGAAAGCATATCCACGGGCTATTTAGCACCACCAATAAAAATACCGGCTTTGGTTTTATCTGTAGTTCATTGCGTTTATCGATTCACCTATAACTGCGCTGGTGAGTTAATCAGTAGAACTGGCAGCAGACTTGAAGCGTGAATAAGGTGTTAAAAAGCTCCGTACCACATCAGATGAGCGTTACACAACGCTTTCAAAAAGATTGAAATTCCTTGTGGCCACACTAATTAGTAGTTTTAAGCGTGTCTTCTGCGCTCAAAATGACCTAAGGTTCACTCGGGCTGTCTTGAGTCGACTGTTTATTCACATTGTTTCAGAATTGCATGAATGCTGTAAGCTGCATTGTATAAGGTCTTACACATTTTTGGACGTTTTATGGCCGAAGTTTACGAATTCAATTCATCCCGCAAGCTTATTGAGAGACAGATAAACTGCTATTGAGGACAATGTCGGGAGCTCAGACAGACAAGTGAATTTGAACTAAATGTAGTTTGATACGCACATTGCAAGTCCTAATACTCTACTTGCGTTACTGAGCTTGTGATCGTCAGGCGTGGGATAAGAAACAGAGTTATCTATATAATCATGCCAGATTCTTGCAATAATTTATTCAGTCAGGATTTATTTTCTTTGACCAGTCAAGGTAAATATCGTCCGACTAGTGAATGAGAACAAAGAGGACTTTGGTTTGAGAATTTAGCTCCTGAGACGCGGAATATTTTCTGCTGTATGGAACACACCCTCAGCGGATTAGTTTTTCGCCGTAACATAGGACGTTCACTGGACAGACGGATTGATTTCATCTACGAGGACTGATATGAAACAAGTGTTTTTGAAGAAAAAAAAGCGAATTCTGACGTATTTGAAAGCTACTCATATGTTACAGGGTGTCCGTGCAAACCACTGCCTTTTTCATACTAGGCTGTTCTCTGTGGGGAATACTGCACTTTGCGACTTCATTCTTTCGTTCACACATTGTCCCCGAATTCTGTCGGGGCGTCACCATGGGACAGCTTTAGTGATAATTCGGTATTTTATGATTAGCAACATGCAACATGCGTCACAAAAGTCTTTCTTTTCAAGTGTGATGTTCTTACTCGTCTCACCAAGGCCTTCAATGAGTGTATGTGTGCATGTATTTACTCATGCATGTATGTATTTATTCAGCACAGCCGTCGGGGCGTGGCTCACGTTTGGTAGCATGCATACTCAGATTTCCCCTCACCACTAAAGGCTTTGTTTTGTTGGTGTTTTGAGGATAATATTGAGGGCGAAATTCTGGGACGGGGACAACAAATCATAGTTTGTTTACGTTGATGAAAACCTTGGGTTGAGACCATCAATTATTAAATGTTGGTTGTCACAACTTTCCAGTTTATCACAAAAGGCGATAGCCTTTGAAACGTTCATTCAAGATTTGTGTAAACCGGCTTAAAGTTACTTTTCGTAACATATGTATGAACAGTTATCATGGAACGGGTGTCGAATGTGGTTCCCACAGAGCTATACCGCTCCCCTAATCAACCCGACAACATTGAGTAACTCTGATTGGCGATTGCAAGCATTTTAGTGCAAGATCTGTAGCACCATTCCGAGCTGAGATGAACATCTAGCGACCAAAATAATCCGACAAAAGTCGGGTATTTAATATACACGATCTTTTAGTGCAAGTTGGACGTTGCATGTCACATGCTGGTTAAGCTATAGTTATCTTGAAATGTGACGAGCAAGACGAGGCTTGCCATGACATCAGTATTCACCCCTGTGCTTGCACATTTGAGGCTCTTTCAACCTCTAGTAGGTTGACTTATCGGTTTAACCTTGAGGGCTATCCGAACTGAGGCCTGTTATTGGGAATGTGCCTCTTCTCAAAAGTGAGAGGGTGGAGATCTGCTTACCTTCCACGTAAATTGGTGATTAGTTTCGAAGATTTTGTGTGACTAGAGAATCTGACTGCCTTTTCCAGGATGTGACCAAATGTAGTCACCACTGATCGCAACAGAAGTTAGGAGTAAACTGATGACATCACTGAAAATATACCAAGTGTGATAATGTTTGATCGAAAATTTCAACTCCCTGCACAACCGCCCCACTAGTGCCGAATTTTCCGTAACCATCTTGATGGGAAATAGACCGTACGCAAAAATGAGGTCAAGGTTCCGTATGTTCTTGGCTTACTATCATGGAATTGACCCTATGCTTCATTCTGTGTTCATGCATTCAGGCAGAGACTATTGGGCTAGCCCCTCATCCTGATGATGGCATGCGCACATGATGCATAATGTACACAGCGGTTGCTTGCGTGTACGTTACCGCTATATCCATATTATGCGTTTTCTTAACTGCTTTGCTGTTACCGAATTCTCACTCACACGTTAAAGTTAGGTTACCACAACTGACAGAAATCCTTACATATGCGACCACACTATGCAACCATGTGAACTGAAACGCAACATCTGTTCTACTAATTTACCGGAAACATGTGATGCAAAGGGTAACTACCGCCAATTCTGGTCGTATGTGCGCAGCACGCTATTTGTATGCATACTGGTGCGCAGCGAATATCACTCAATATAAACTCTACTTTTGAGGTACGCTTTTTGACACATTAACCACAAGACCACTACTGACATGATGTTTGTCGCGTTTATTTTCGTTGGTAAGTTCAACTGGTGTTGATCTAACATGCAGCATTACCAGATTTTTTAGTCTAGTCGACTTGTGACGACGGCACTGGTCGGAATATGTGTGCTACAATGCTCCGTACGGGCTTTTATCATGAGCTAACTAGGATGAGTTACCTGCCAAGGCCTGTTTACTACGTTGCACCCAAAGATGCAACAAGCCCTTGCTACAGGACTGGACGAGATTAGTTGCGACTGACCGAGCGCTGGCTCACCCACTACGTTTTTGGACCACGTTATGGATCTAATGGTATCATGTTATTCTAGCTTCTGGGAGCTGAGAAATGAAGATTGTAGAAATTTGATTTTATTGCATTCCTCCCACTTTCCTTTTATTTGGCACTGGACAACGTGGGGACCTTTCGAAAATTCTTTACGGATTAATTATTAACTGGAAAAGTTTTGAGTCTTGACTTTTCAGCGGGTTGGCATCGGATAAAGATAAAATGCTTGCCACATCTTGCGGTGGGGGAAGTTTCAACCTAAATTTTGTCTTTGGAAGATATCTGTAGTAAAATAGTTTGCAACAAAACTGACGGTCTAGTCAGTCCAGCTTTGCGAGTATCCTAAACGGGCTTCTAACTGATGTCATGCTGGATAAAGGTGCATCAACCAACTGTTATGCAACACAATATACCACTCATAAGTTTGCTGAAAACTCTTAGACATCTCACCCTTATTGAGGCTTATCAGGTCGGCGCACTCACGTGGGCTGCCGAGGATTTTTTAGCAACCTTGTTAGTACTTTCCCTTCTGAAAATATACTAAGATATTTTCTATAGAGGAGAATGTCGGTAGCTCAGGTAGCGTAGATGGTCGTTGGCTTGTTCGCTGAGCTGGGCAATTTGGTTGCAAACGTTTCATCAACGTTTCAGCTAAATTGCCCAGCTCAGCGAACAAGCCAACGACCATCTACGCTACCTGAGCTACCGACATTCTCCTCTATAGAAAATATCTTAGTATATTTTCAGAAGGGAAAGTACTAACAAGGTTGCTAAAAAATCCTCGGCAGCCCACGTCAGGTTTCGTGCTTCTTGAGGATTACAGGTAGGTTCAGTCCCCGAGTTTCCATCAACCCTATGTTCTGCTTTCAACACAGACTGCACGAAATTTGACTTATTCACTCATTTGCACGTCAATTTGGTTTTGACGGGAGGCTCACCTGGAACCCAGCGAATCAACCTGTGGTGATGTTCTTAAGCAACTGAATTTGTATTACGTCCATACAATGAGTCGCGAAATCTCGAATATCGTATCGACTGAAACATGAAGTGGCATGGTGCGGCACATTCATTTGCTTGAGAAGATCATAAACCAGAGGTTCATCCGGGTTCCAGGTGAGTCTCTCGTCCAAACCAAACTGATATGTAGATGAGTATACGAGTCGAACGTTTGTCAGCCCATTTAAGAGTCTTTTAAGTCGAGCCTTTTTAAAGCCAGAGGAAAGACTCTAGCACATTCTTCAAGTTGTCACAGACGATTGCACTCTGAGCATTGAGCGAGTCTGAAGGGAACACCGGATCAGTAGTGCTGAAGTAGGTCGAATGGTATTAGGAGGAAATAACTCGCCCACGATAGATGAACTAATCAAACTGCACAGGTTGCGCTGGCTTGTCCACGTGCTCTGTATGTCAGTCGACTAAATTCTTCGAAAGGTTATTTTAGCACAACCACGTGAAGGATGTAAACGAGCCAGGGGAGGTCAAATAATGAATCGACAGCGAACTGTGTGCCAGTACACTCAGTTGCGCTTGTCTAGTAATCTCTCTGGCTGGGGAACCCAGAAGGGACACATCAATAGTTGGAGATATTGTCAGACATCGCCCAGTCGCGCCCTCAGTGGCGCTTGTGCATCCAAGCAATTGCCTTCAATGCATAGCTCACTTCCCGATTCCTCCACTTAAAAGTCCACGACAGCCCTTCATTTACGCACCAACTTATCGGCTCCCGTCTCCAATGTGCAGCTATCTACCTCGCCTCCCAAAATCATCGGTTGACAAAACTGTGGCAACAACAATCACTGTGCGATTAATACGCCATTCTCATAGCCGATAAAGTGGGGGTGATGCGATAAAACGTTGTTCCTGATTTGACTTCTAAATTTCTGATAACTTTGATGTTATCTGTATGCTTTTATTACTCCTGATTAGCGAAGAAATTCACTTTAGTCTTGATAATGAGTTTGTGCCAGACGGCAAACGTCGATGTTTATACCAACTAAGGTGCACGTCGGTGTTTGCTGCCTTATCATAGGAACAGTCAAATATAAACAAATAAATGGATCGCCAGAATCAACCAAGGTCTACGTTCATTTATCAGATGGTTTGGGACTTTGTAGTCACATTGCCAAATAATCTGGGCGTCCAATAAAATATAACCATTGTCGGTTCGAAAAGTGAAGTTATTTGCCGTTTGCCTAGCCGTTAGAGCAAGAGAGAAAAGCAAATTTATGAAAACTGTTTTCACTGGACAGATTACATCCTGATTTACTCGCCCCTAAAAAGGATGCTCAACCGGAGCCAACTTTTGCGGACCTGACTGGGGAGGCAAGGGTTGGCGTGAGATATGTACAATTCACTCTAGGTTGGTTCAAGCGAACTTTGGAGGTTATAATCGATGAAGCTTACGCCGTAGACAGCATCTTGTTTAATTTTTGTACGCTTGTCCAGAGTCAGAAGCCAAGCTCTATATGTCGGTGGTTCGAAATCGTGGTCGGGCGAACTCGGGATAAAAAATGATCTGTCAACAACCATATGGAGACGGGCAGTACACGGCAGGACAAGACAAGTAGGGAATTAGGGAATGGGTTGCGAAAAAAGTTTTGTCATTTTCTTGAAATAACAAGATGCATACTTTGTGCGCACATTCAATTAAAGAATATCATTATTGGTTGATATGTCTAAGTCTCTTGTTAACACCGATGTTGCTTGCCTTTGAAAGTATTTTACCAATCGTGTGATACTTCTTTTTTCGCCACATTTGTTACGTGGTGAATACGTACTTTTTTCGTTTCTTTTGTCTCCTCTGTCAGATGTACTAACATTTTCATCCAGCATATTTTTTATGTTTCTGGTTTGCAGCCGGACAAAGTTTCTGACTGTTTACAATACTTCATCCAAGGTCTTGGTTTAGGTAAGTTTATGGCATCACCTTTCTCTTCGATTTTGTGAAGCCTTCTCTTTTTCAGTTGACAGAGTTTGCACTCAATACCTACCAATCTTTAAAAACGTTGTCTAGTTTTGTTGTCTAATTCGATAGTGTATGCAAAACTCAGACATCATCGAGAAAAATGTTACACTGTCGTCTCTTGGGAAGATAGCTTACGAATCTTCGTACATGAAACACTTTCAGTTCTCTTTAGTGTCCGTTTCACTTCTGATGAGTGAAATTACGGAAGCGTTGGTCGTTATCCAACATCTAACTACTGGCTACAGGGTCCAGTAGATATCGTCACTTGCACCATTTTTGTATACATCTGGAAAGCCCGATGGTGATCAAGTATACCGTGACATTTAATCAACTGAGCCCGAAATGAAATACGCATTGAAGTTGGAAGACCTTCGATTTAGGCAAATTAGACAGCGAAAACTACATGTTACTCATAGTAGCGTAACTGACAAGAGTATCAGAGAAATACCGAAGGACTTTGGCAGATGCATATTTTCCACATGTTTCCACGATGTAAAGGACAGAGTTTTCAGTACTTTGCATCAATCCTGTGTTCTACTTGCAAACCAATTTGATAGATTTCGACAAATACATATCAATGTATATCAATTTAGTTTTGACGGGATAATCAGCCGGAACCCACCTGACTCTCTCGTTTATGGTGTCTTTAAAACATCACAAAAGAAAGGTTCAGCCGGGTTCCAAGTGAATCACCTGTCAAGGCCAAGTTGGTATGAGTGTATTTGTTCGTACACTGACGTTGCTGCACAGCAGCGGAACATTAGCGCAAAACGTGGTACTGCTGGCAACTCAAATACTAATGATTCTTTAATGTTGGCGCTTCGTTTTTGAACTAGTGAGTGCATGGAAGTTATCCAGAGAATCACCTAAAGTTAACCCAAAAATCAGACACGGCGCATCATTTATGAATTGTATAAAAAACAGAAATTCATTAGAAGGTGAAAGTATTTCTCGCTATTTTGGAGACCGATTAAGTGGATCATTTTTGCATGAATTATCCCAAGGCGTTACTGGTACAGTGGTGAGGTTTCTACGGAGGGTGGAGCTGTTGGTGTCTAGACTTTTATGGCCTGATTTTGTCAAAATAAGTTTGCTGAAATTGATACTCAGGTTGCTTTTCACTAACGTTTTGCATCCGATTTCAGCCAGCGGAATCGTCAATCGACGAATGAGCAGCACCGTTCGCCCATTTCTTCGTGGCCGCTCACTCTCTATGGAAGAATATGACCAACCAAAGGGTGTATCCTCATGCGTTTTTGATAAAAACAGGAAGTACAGCACAGCAGTGCCCGAGGGCGACGAACTAGAGGAATATCGCGCGTAGAGTTAGTAGACCCCAAAGCTTCCAGCTTGATTTGTTGTTAGATGTTTCACAAACTTCGCGCCCTTTTGCACTCAGGCACCAATAACGCATTCACCATAGCGCACTTGTGTATCAGTCAATCCCATACGCACCTTTCCATGTACCGACACTGCAACAAAGGGTGTCTTCTCATCTCCAATGCTTAGTGAACACTGTAGCTGGTTCCAACTTTGTCTGTTTCGTGTCATTCTTGTCTACAATCCAAGAAAACTGTTGGAAAATGCAACTTCCAGCTTGTTACGATTCTACATGTCGATTCATGTGCCGTTGAGCGGCGCAGCTTGTAGTAACAAGGGACCCACTGTTGTATTTGAGGCTGCATTCAACATCAGTTCATCGCCAGTTTGTGTTCCTTGGCACATGTGGATTTTTCTATCGGGCGCAGAATTGTCACTCGCTGTTCTAACTAATCGGTTGAATGCATCCACACAGTACAGTTAATAAACAACTTACCCACATTGCCTCTACTTATTCCGCTCCCTGGTGTGACAGCCTAAATGTTTGTTATGTGTAATCATATTGCGCAAGTGAACTTCATGAGATCAAACAGGTCTGGGGAGCGACAACCGCTGTATGTTGCCCCTCCCATGCCTATCTCGTGTGTCTCATTGAGTATAGGAGCGCTTTTCGGTATTTGACTCCACGTTCATCTTAGATAACCAGCAAAACTTCAGACCCATGACCTCCGCAGGCATTATTGATTAATCAACCTACACATGAATATCCGTCATCGATCAGCTGATTTTTTGGATTGGTCAAAGGCTGGTTAGGCCCAGATTCACGCATATAATCGAACTCACCGGCCATGCAAACTGATCTTCGGTTGCCGCGATTACCCTCCTGTAAGTAATAGCCAAAGATCTTTCCAGGCCCACCTTATCCTCCTTAATAAACTCGCGTATCTGAGCCTTTGGGAATCTGACCCCATTGTCATCTAAATTAGGCTCTCAACTGGCCGCTTACAACCACAGGGATAAAGCAATGGTATACTATACCCACTGGCTAACTTCCGACACTTTTTTGAATGTGAATATTCATCTAGTTTCGGGGTGGAGCTTGTTGGATGATGTTTGCAATACATAAGGCAAAATCTGATAAGGAGCAATCGCGACCCATCTCGTTGCAGTGACAACTATTACTTCACCAATCTAGCGAATGAACATTGCTTTAGCACTCGCTTGAAACTGACAAGTTGCTTCATCTATCCAACCGTCTGTGCGATGTGGTCGCCTTACAGAGCACAGGAATCACAAATGTTAGGCCATGACAGCTATGATACATTTGAGTGTTTCTAGATCCTGATTCATGGAAAATATCGTGCATACATTCTACCACGTCCAGTTGTGAATATTCATCACCGTCACTGGAAGTATTTCTCATTGTCACTCCACCAAACACAGTGAACTTGTGACCAAAAACTATTTTTCAAATGTGTGAATATGTGGATTAACGTCAGAGGACGGACTGCCTTGGCGAATACGGAAAGTACAAAAGTTTTTCATCTTCCACAATGAATCCACACTGTTATGAGCTGTAGGGCTATCAGACCTGGACGATTAATTGGTTTTGTTGCCAGTCAACTGTGTTAACGTAATGATTCCAATGGTAAATTTAACGAAACCCCTTTATTGTGCTTGGGCAATGAATGCTATCGCTGGACACGACAGTTGTCCCAGTTTGATGCACTTGACCAAAATGAAGGTTGGATTTCCCGTTTAGAAGATGCCAATTCAGTGATGCATCCACTCAAATCCATTTGTTCAAAAGTATCACAGTGAAGGGAATTTAGGAATTTTTCCCCATGTACAGACTAGCGCACTATGACAAGGATGTTTTATTTAGAGCTCATTCACCGAATACGGTGCGGATTTTGGAAAGTAGCGTTACGCGGAAAATGAAGTAGGCAACAGTGAAATTTGAAAATCAATGAATGAAACTGATCAGTTAACAAGTTACTTTAAACTACCGCTCCTTGTCCTTTTATTGAGCTTATTAGGATACGAACAGTTGTATGTTTGTTCCAGCGTACCATCATTCACGGAGAGAGCTCATACAGGCGAAATGTTATTAAAAGGCTTCAAATAAGATCAGAAGACATCTTCAATCCACAAAAGCCCTATTATCATCAATCTAAAGATTAGGACGCTCGAGTGACGTCATGATTTATAACGCTTGAGTAAGTTGTAATTGACTATCTTTCTATGTTTATACTTGCAAACAATTGGAAACACTCAGGAGAGGTCACCCTCTTTGTCATTTAACGGACGTCTCAGTGCAACAAGACAACGCTTGGTGTTATTTCCAATGGAATCGGCCTTCACATACAGATTGGGACAGATTGTATCGTTTTGTACCCATCAGATCTATCTTGTTGGATGCCGAAATCAGGCATTTTTGTTGCTAGGATACATGAAACTAGACGGGCGTCCCTTGATTGTCACGGAAAGTGGATGATTCCAGTTCCCCAGAATTTTATTTAATCTCTTAGTCTTACAAAATACAGTCCTGAATCTCCGGGTTTTCTGATCTCTGGAACCAACCAATTTGTATAAGAAGTCTTGTATTCGGATATTGTTTCGTGGAACGTGTGATTTTTGTCGAGTTTAAACTTGAAGGTGGTGGTACGCCGCTTACATGTTAGCCTCCGTCCTCCCAATTGATTTGTACTGTACTGGATTACTGTGAATATATTTATATATATATATATACTGAATATTCTGTGCATTTATAAAAGAAGATTAAGGAGTAAGTCCAAAGCAACCCTCGTTACAACTGTGTCCGTGCAACAAGCGACACAGTGAAGTCCTATTCGTGGAACCAGCTGAGCTCATCATGTGATGGCCAACTTTGATCTCACTAATCACGAAAGGGTCTTGAACGCTGGGCCTTAGTTTCCTGCAGAAATTTTGTTCTACTATTTTTATCCGTCGGATACTCGCTGTCTTATTCCTTTAGCGGTAAGGTTGATTCGTTTGCTTGTGTGTGGTTGTAACCGCCAACTGTTTGCCATATATACCTAAACAAAGTCTAACCTGATTAGTCACGCAATATGGATTGGCAGTCATGCATGTATTCTAAAAATCCGTCTGCCGATCCATATTTACTTTGTTGTTCATTGTGGAGGTAGCCCCAACTCCGATTACCTTGCTCAAGCTCGAAGCAGTGGTTCCATTTGTTCTCGGTAGCGTTAGTTCAGGTTATAGTAACTCTAGTAAGAATGTGGCAATTGGAAGAAATCAGGCTGGTTGATCGGCCGGAATTTTAAAGCTGGCTTATCTCACATCAGTGTCCCCGGAGGATATAGTCTGCCGATTTGCACCTTTGGCATAAAACCGTTGGTCAGTGCGGTAGGAGATAACTGACAAAGTGCTTTGGTTCGTAGGTTAAAAATTAGACAAAATCATGAGGAATAAAAACGGTACAACGGTGACTAGGTAGCCACCAGTGTAAGCCACTGATACACTAAGTGCGGTACTCAGCAATAGTGCCGTAATTCATTTTCTACCTCGAAATTCCTAACTGTCTTGTCTTTCTGCGCCCCTGATGTAACAACTAGGTAAACGATGACCCACTGATTATCTGGTAGTGAATCGTGCGCAAACAAGTTGTACAGCTCAGTGAACAAACAAACAATCAACCTTAACTTGACTTAATTCTGCGGAGGAAGCCACTATGCCTTATGATAAAGGGAGAATCTACATGTCAGGAGTGATCTCATGGAAACGTAGCTTTTGTTCGGGAATGCATCTCTAGCGTTCACACAACAAAACTCCACCTTCAGGGTGGCGTGAACTTTGTCCAGCGTGAATAAAATCGCAGCGAACCACCAAATTCTGGGTTTAATATCACCTACTCGGTTATTTTGTGTCCAGTTTTTCCCATGTAACCGCCGTCTAACTACCTTCATACCAGTCTACTGAACTCCTGTGAATCGAACCAAATAATCAACTATATCCTTGACAATATGCTCACGGATAAGCCCGATGATTGCCAACCATCGATCAAAAATAATCTGGTGTCACACAATTTTTCAAAAGCATTATGCAAATTATGCTAAATAAGCACCGCAGAATGAAGTCTGATTGTGTTGTTGGGACTGTGCCAGTTTCTTCACCTACAGACCTTTACACACGGTTACAACTTTGTGGCCTTGAGAATGACTACACTGATTGCTCTGGTGGTCATACGATGAGGGTGTGTTGTCCACCACCTGAAATCCTGCGTATTTTTTCCTCCCATGGACAAACATAACGCAAACACCTCGAAGTTTTTGACCCCACGACCTGTAACTGTTGCAGACGAAAATTCAGATGGACGCGTTTGCTGGTCCAGCTATTTAGGTGGAATTTTGCACGACGTAAATGTAACAAAAATACACTCCATGTTGATTATCGCATCACATGACGGACATATTCACAGCTCAGAATCACACTGTTTGATGTGTGAATCCGTCACGCTTGAATGTTCTGTCATGATTACCTCACCAGACGGGTGGTATAACCCCAAAATTTTGTTCTTATCAGAGCTAGCCAAATTATAACTAGGTATTCTCTGTCAAATCAATTACTTGTGCCGTTAGTGACCACTAATCCGGAGGAATGCAGCATATCATCTTTGGGTTTTTGCTCGTGAAACAACTTTCGACTACATGTAGACTGTTAAAATAGTGTTACCAATTGGATACAATTTAGTTCAGTTTGACAACCGTATACCTATGCATAGGTGTTTGAATCGCCACATGCTATGGTGGTGTACAGTAGAAGATTGGGTGGACAGACGAAATTCATATAATTAGGAACCAACTGGGAACAAGAAAATAGACACAAGGCCACTACCGGTTTTATGGTATGGCTACATTGGTGAGTAACTCCAACCATTGATGTGGCGGGTCTCCGATACCCAACTCACTGACAGCATCCAGCAGACCGCCCAGGGCCCTTTGTTATGGTTCTCGCTCTCCGTTTTCCGGTCACGCATCTTCCACGTTGTGGTATCCCTCAGTCGAGAGCTGCCTCGGGGAACAGGGCAAGGAGATTCCGTCGATCACCTGGAATACAGTACGTGATGGAGCTGTCTTGGTTAGTGCGGCTGTGAAAAATTTCATTGCTTTTTGGCATCGCTGATTCGATTTTCACCTGATACGAGCATGGTGTCCCTAAGGCAACGAGAGTCAGAAGCAAGTGAACTTCTCCTATCTTCAGCACACACCAGGCTTCGCAACCGCAAAGTAACACTGGACACCTTGCCGCGTTGTAGTCCCTGCCTCAATGTTACATCCGTCCTGGTATTATTTTAGTTAAATGAATGTAAGAACAGACTTTTAGGACTCTGGCACCCACTTCGTTGGCGTGATGCAACTATCTGGTTAGGTAAATTTGTTCGCCATCTTTGTTGGTTCTGATACAACGGCCAACTTTGATGGTCGGATATATTAATCGTTCACGGCATCTCACTGCCAAGTGATTTAGTATGCCCACTTGAACTGACCGCGTGCACTCGATGCTCAAAC